ATGTACAGTGGACCCCCGCATACCGATTTTAATCCGTGCAAGAGGGCTCATTGGTATGCGAAATAATCGGTATGCGAATGAATTTTCCCCATAAGAAATAATGGAAATCAAATTAATCCGTGCAAGACACCCAAAAGTATGAAAAAAAAATTTTTACCACGTGAAATATACATTTTCCTACACACAAAGAGAAGGATACATGCACAATAGTAGAGTAGTACATGCACAATATATATTGTGCATGTACTACTCTACTAAATGAAGAATAAATGACACTTACCTTTATTGAAGATGCAGCAATGACTGATGAGACACTGTGTCCTGGGAGTGCCTTTTCCTCCTGAGTACTGTAGGTCCTGTTTGGCATTTTCTTCCAGAACAGGCCTTATCACACTGTGTATGCCACTACGATTCTTAAAACTCATCACCCTGCCTCGGTGGGAGACGGCCGACTTTTTTAAAAAAAAGAAAAACTAGTGAAATAGCTAAGAATTTGGTCGACTGGAATAATGTAATTGGCCTAAAATGGGAGTCAAAGTCGGCAAAATCTCCGATGCGTAAATATCACTGACACATCAAAATTTGCGAGAGCATAATATCGTCAATTTTCCATCAAATTTCGTACTTTTTGTTTTATTACCTTCACAAAAAGATTCTCTACCATTTCATAAGAAAAAATAAAAAATTTTTTTTTTGAAAATTCTTGGATCCTGGCCTCTGGACCCTGAAAGGGTTAATACAGTAGTCCCGTAATACAATAGTCCCATAACACAGTAGTCCCATAATACAATAGTCCCATAATGCAGTAGTCCCATAATACGGTAGTCCCATAATACAGCAATTCCATAATACAGTACATTTGGAAAATATCCAGTGACAAGCTGTTCAACTTTAACCCGTAAACGGTCCAAGCAGATCTACGTTCATATGTGTAGTGCTACAAAAGTAGATGTACTTTTTTTACATATTTTCAAATATAACAAAAAAAAAAGTAGATCAAAGTTTTTTTACACATTTTCAAATGTAAAAAAACAAAAAGTAGATCTACTTTTCTTACATACTTTCAAATGTTGAAAAAATGTATATATACGTTTGGACCGTTTACGGGTTAAATGTGGGAATTCAAACCCATTTTACAACTGGGAATTGGGGGCTGTTTAATAGGTCATTACTCTAAATTCCAATGTGTATATGGTCATTAAAGGGGTGTTTGCAATAGTTTACTAGACAAATACAGACTCTCCTCACTTAGCGACGTACTTTTTTACTGATGACTCGGACTTACAACGGGCTCTCTCACCAGTGTGCATGCCTAAATAATGTATATTAGAGCAGATTTCCTCAATTCTGTTTATTACAATATACAGTGGACCCCCGGTTAACGAACTTTTTTCATTCCAGAAGTATGTTCAGGTGCCAGTACTGACCGAATTTTTTCCCATAAGGAATATTGTGAAGTAGATTATTCCTTTCAGACCCCCAAACATACACGTACAAACGCACTTACATAAATACACTTACATAATTGGTCGCATTTGGAGGTGATCGTTAAGCGGGGGTCCACTGTACAGTGCACTACTGTATAAACATTTAAAAATATACCAGAAATGTTATAAATGGTGCAAAGGTGACATTAAAATAATATCAAAGATGGTTGACACAAACCCACTACCATTATAGTCTGCTCCTCACTTAGCGACGAATTTGTTTACCGACGTGATCTTAGGAACGGAACTCCATCGTTAGGTGAGGAGAGGCTGTGCAAACTATTTCTAAAGAGTGTAGTATGGTGTATTATACAATTAGGGTAATTGACATTTTTTTTATTATCACACCGGCCGATTCCCACCAAGGCAGGGTGGCCCGAAAAAGAAAAACTTTCACCATCATTCACTCCATCACTGTCTTGCCAGAAGGGTGCTTTACACTACAGTTTTTAAACTGCAACATTAACATATACAGCTATAAAGAAAGCCCTGTATTATTCAAAGCTTGGCCCATAGCTGGGCTCCAGGAGTTGAAAGATGGTTTTAAGTTGGAAAAATTCAGATTCAGGAAGGATATAGGAAAGAACTGGTTTGATAATAGATTTGTGGTTGAGTGGAACAAACTCCTGAGTACCGTCATAGAAGCTAAGACATTGTGTAGTTTTGATAACAGCTTGGATAAATACATGAGTGGATGTGGGTGGGTGTGAGTTGGACCTGACTAGCTTATGCTAATAGGTTTGATACTGTGCCACTTCCTTAAGTGGATGTGACCTGACCTGACCTGACTAGCTGGGACATTAGTTTAAGCCAGGAAGTGACTTGGACCTGCCTCACATGGGCCAGTAGGCCTGCTGCAGTGTTCCTTCTTTCTTATGTTCTGTTATGTTTAAAGGTTAGGTTAGGTTCATCAGGAAACCCGCTCCAACGGCGGTCATCATCTTAGATGATGACCCGCCGTCGGAGCTTTTGGCCATCTGACTGAGGCCTTCCACTGGCTTACCTGTCCACCACTTCCAAAAATTTATGGTCATATAACCATTTAGTATATAGAAAAACTCTTAAAACTCATCAAAGGTATATCAAAAGCATTTTGAGCAGCCTTAACCCTTAAACTGTCCAAACACAGATCTACGTTCACATGTGTACTGCTACAAAAGTAGATCTACGTTCACATGTGTACTGCTACAAAAGTAGATCTACGTTCACATGTGTACTGCTACAAAAGTAGATCTACGTTCACATGTGTACTGCTACAAAAGCAGATCTACGTTCACATGTGTACTGCTACAAAAGTAGATCTATGTTCACATGTGTACTGCTACAAAAATAGATCTACGTTCACATGTGTACTGCTAAAAAAAGCAGATCTACGTTCACATGTGTACTGCTAAAAAAGTAGATCTATGTTCCATGTGTACTGCTACAAAAGTAGATCTACGTTCACATGTGTACTGCTACAAAAGTAGTTTCTATGTTCACATGTGTACTGCTACAAAAGTAGATCTAGTTCACATGTGTACTGCTACAAAAGTAGATCTATGTTCACATGTGTACTGCTACAAAAGTAGATCTACGTTCACATGTGTACTGCTACAAAAGTAGATCTACGTTCACATGTGTACTGCTACAAAAGTAGATCTACGTTCCCCATGTGTACTGCTAAAAAAAGTAATCTACGTTCACTGTGTACTGCTACAAAAGTAGATCTACGTTCACATGTGTACTGCTACAAAAGTAGATCTACGTTCACATGTGTACTGCTACAAAAGTAGATCTACGTTCACATGTGTACTGCTACAAAAGTAGATCTACGCTCACATGTGTACTGCTACAAAAGTAGATCTACGTTCACATGTGTACTGCTTACAAAAGTGATCTAACGCTCACATGTGTACTGCTACAAAAGTAGATCTACGTTCACATGTGTACTGCAACAAAAGTAGATCTACGTTCAAAATGTGTACTGCTACAAAGTAGATCTATGTTCACAATGTGTACTGCTACAAAAGAAGATCTACGTTCACATGTGTACTGCTAAAAAAAGTAAAATCTACGTTCACAATGTGTACGTAAAAAGTAGATCTACGTTCACATGTGTACTGCTACAAAAGTAGATCTACGTTCACATGTGTACTGCTACAAAAGTAGATCTATGTTGTTTTACATATTTTCAAGTATAACAAAAAAAAAATAGATCAAAGTTTTTTTACACATTTTCAAATGTAAAAAAAAAAAAAGACATTCTTTTTTTTTACTTTCAAATGTTGAAAAAATGTATATATACGTTTGGACCGTTTACGGGTTAAAAGCTTTCAAATGTAAAAAAAAAAATCTACGTTTTATACATATTTTCAAATACAAAAAAAAATGAAGATCAAAGTTTTTTAAACGCTTTCAAGTGTAAAAAAAAAAATCTACTTTTTTTTTTACATATTTTCAAATGTTGAAAAAACGTAGATCTACGTTTTGACAGTTTACAGGTTAAAGCTATATTATTACTCTATTACAGTTTCTTGAATGGATTATTTTATGTGCGATTATGAGAATCTTGGCGGAAATTTGTTATATTTATTTTTTACTTCTATAATTAATATATACTTTACCCAACTGGAATTTGGAAATTTGCAATATTAGAACTATCATCTGTGTTCACTTTTGACTCAAAAAATAATGAATTTTTAGCCAAAATATTTTAAGAAGTGTTCTGAAAAAAAGATAATTTTTTTCCAGCCAAACCTGTCAATTTCGGTTGCATTTTTTTAAAAAAAAATTTGAGAAACTCGTCACCATTACATATTAGCTATAATTAGCTCCAGTTTTGGTTCGAGTTTGAAATTGATAAGACCTGGAGTATACCTGGAGAGAGTTCCAGGGGTTAGTGCCCCTGTGGCCTGGTCTGTGACCAGGCCACATGGTGGATCAGGGCCTGATCAACCAGTCCTCATGGTGCATCAGGGCCTGATCAACCAGTCCTCATGGTGCATCAGGGCCTGATCAACCAGTCCTTTATGGTGCATCAGGGCCTGATCAACCAGGCTGTTAATGCTGGCTGCACGTAGTCCAACGTAGGAACCCCCAGCCCGGCTGGTCAGGTACTGACTTTAGGTGCCTGTCCAGTGCCTTCTTGAAGACAGCCAGGGGTCCTGAAGACAGCCAGGGGTCTTGAAGACAAACAGGGGTCTTGAAGACAGCCAGGGGTCTTGAAGACAGCCAGGGGTCCTGAAGACAGCCAGGGGTCTTGAAGACAGCCAGGGGTCTTGAAGACAGCCAAGGGTCTTGAAGACAGCCAGGGGTCTTGAAGACAGCCAAGGGTCTTGAAGACAGCCAGGGATCTTGAAGACAACCAGGGGTCTTGAAGACAGCCAGGGGTCTTGAAGACAGCCAGGGGTCTTGAAGACAGCCAGGGGTCTACTGGTAATCCCTCTGATGTATGCTGGGAGGCAGTTAAGAATTCTACTACTGCAATTATAGACTGAACACAATTTAACAATATATGTTATGTCTCTCAAGGTGAACAGTTGAGGATCCTGAACCACATGAACCCAACGCCTGGCGTCATCTACATGTCTGGCGAAATAATTCTGGGCGTGCGAGGTGTGGACTTCTCACCAAAAGGCTGCCATGTTGCCTCTGTATGTTTGTGATGGGTGAGTATAATGTCGCCTCTGTATATAGTGATGGGTAGCTATTATGTAAGTTGTGTCTGCAGTGATGGGTGGCAACCATGTATGTGTTTGTGTCTGTAGATCTGTGTTTGTGAGGGTCAAACCTCAGCATCTAGTCTGGCCCTTAAAATTTCATCGACTGGCATTACTGGTTTTTGGCCCTTGAACATTGTCATATATACTCACATAACATTGTATAGATATTGCCGCCTTAGGTAGAAGATTGGTAAACAACAACCACCCAGGGAGGTACTACCGTCTTGCCAAGTGAGTGTACAATGAAAACCTGTAATTGTTTTACGTGATGGTAGGATTGTGGTGTCTTTTGTCTGTCTCAAAACATGCAAGATTTTTAGGTACGTCTTGCTACTTCTACTTACACTTAGGTCACAATACACATACATGTACAAGCATATATATACACACCCCTCTGGGTATTCTTCTATTTTCTTTCTAGTTCTTGTTCTTGTTTATTTCCTCTTATCTCCATGGGGAAGTGGAACAGAATTCTTCCTCCGTAAGCCATGCGTGTTGTAAGAGGCGACTAAAATGCCGGGAGCAAGGGGCTAGTAACCGCTTCTCCGTATAAATTACTAAATTTAAAAGAGAAACTTTCGTTTTTCTTTTTGGGCCACCCTGCCTTGGTGGGATATGGCCAGTGTGTTGAAAGAAAGAAAGAAGATATTGCCGCCACCATTTCCACTTCTAGCTCATTCCATTTTCCACCTCCCTGAGGTTAACAGCCCTGTGACCTATCTCTGTTTTTAGATTCCATATATTTTACCTTGTTGCTATTCTAAGCATTGTAAATAAGTCTGTCCTTCTGTACCTTATCAGTTTATCCAAGAATTTTGTATATTATAATCTTGTTTCACCTCCTCCTCTCTTTCAAGGTAGTTAGAAAGAATATCTTTAGCCTGTTGTTATTTTGTATGCATCTATGCTTTTATAGCAATTTGGTTGCAGACTTTTTGCAGTTTTCCAGGATTTTGGCCATGCAAAATCAAGTGTGAGGACTTAGTGTTGCACATTCTGAGATAAGCCTGTGTATGTTGCACGGCACAGTCCTAAAAAATTCTTTGTTGAGATTCCTGAAGGCTATTATGGGATTTGCTAGCTTACATTGGCTGCTATTTCATGGTTTATGTGCTCTTCTGGTGATATATTAAGTGTGATGGTTAATCTGATACTCTTAATTAATTGTTATCTGTAGATTATAACCCCTCGCCACTGTAGGTCTCTCATATCTGTAAATTATAACCCCTTGTCTGGAGTATACCTGAAGAGGGTTTCGGGGGTCAATGCCCTCATGGCCCAGTCTGTGACCAGGCTTCATGGTGAATCAGGGCCTGATCAATCAGGCTGTAACTGTTGGCCACACGCATTTCCCTCCCATGTATCAGAAATCTTTTCTATGTGGATAGACTGAGGGCCCTGAATCTGTACTCTCTAGAAAAGTGTAGAATTAGGGAGATATGATCGAGGTGTATAAATGGAAAACAAATGAACAAAGGGAATATAAACAATATGCTAAAAATATCTAAGACGATACTTGTATCAGTGGGTTCAAGTTGGAAAAATTTAGATTTAGAAAAGATGTAGGAAAGCACTGGTTCGGTTATGGAGTTGTGGATGAGTGGAACAAACTCCCGAATAGCGTCATTGAAGCTAAAACGTTGAGTAGTTTTAAAAATGGGTTAGACAAGTACACGAGTTGGTGTGGGTGGATGGGAGTTGTACCTAACCAGCCTGGGCCAGTAGGCCTGCTGTAGTGCTCTGTCTTATATATAGCACTGTATAACCCTTTCAGAATTACCACTTAATTTGATTTTATTATTATTGAATCTGGTCAGAATGAGCATTCTTCAGTTTTTTGCATATATTCCAAAAATTCCAAGTTTAATGAATACAGTGGACCCCGTTTTACGATCACCTCCCAATGCGACCAATTATGTAAGTGTATTTATGTAAGTGCATTTGTACGTGTATGTTTGGGGGTTCTGAAATGGACTAATCTAATCACAATGTTCCTTATGGGAACAAATTCGTTCAGTACTGGCACCCTGAACATACTTCTGGAATGAAATAATATCGTAAACCGGGGGTCCACTGTATACTTAGTACATATTTGGACAAGTTTCTCAGACAGTAAACTTAATGGGTATTTTCCTGGCTCTAACCCTTAACCCTTTGACTGTCGCAACCCCCAATCCTGAGGTGTCTTCTGGTGTCACAAAATTTAAAAAAAAAAAAAGATTTTATCTTATGAAATGATAGAGAATCTTTTCCTGATTGTAAAGACACCAAAAAAAAAAAAAACGAAATTTGATGGAAAACTGACGGAATTACACTCTCGCGAAAGTTAGCGACCTCGGCGATATTTACAAATCCGCGATTTCGCCCACTTTGAGCCCTATTTTCGGCTAATTCCATAATTCCAGTCAACCAAATTCATAGCTATTTCTTCAGAACTCCATCTTTTCCATCGATTGAGTACAAGAAAGTGCCCATTTACCGATTTCAACTACCTAATAATGTGGTCAGAAATTTGCAATTTGGCCAATTTCACGAAAATTAAAAAATATGACAATTTCAAAATAAGGACCAGAATGAACAATGCAGACATTCCTGGCTCTAAAATAACATTTTCTTTGTTCATCAGTCACGTCTCCAGGCCCCTCTGATATTACTCTTGCTTTTTATTTTGAATTTTTATTCAAACAAAAAATAGAAGACTTACTATTATGCAGACTACTGCAATACTGTAATAATTGTATAAATAACATCAACCCATTCATGACTGCATATTAGAATGGCTAGTTGGACATTTATTGGATAATGACATCATTTGTTTACTTTTGAACATCGGCAAAAATCAAACATTTTCCATATTTTGAGCTCCATTTCCAGGTTATTTTTATAGGAAAATCAATCAAAATCACCTCTATATCTATAATATGTTTTCCATTCTATCAAATGAGACCAAGAAAACGAGAATACAACCATAAATACTATACGAAAATAGACCACAAAGTTGGCATTTTAATTAAAAAAATGGTCGGAGTTTTTTTTTTCTCATTATGCACTGCATGCTCTAGGATTTTTTTTATATGGTGCACACTGACCACACAGACCCATTCTCTCACATGTGGGACTACCAGCTTTCTCCTGCTTGATTTGAAGCCTCTAGAATTTATGAGTATATATACGTCAAACACGGTACCTCGTAAACGTATATATATACGGCCACGACAGTCAAAGGGTTAAACTAACCAAACATTGATCTACGTTAACGTGTGTAGTGCTCCGAACGTAGATCTACGTTTTTATTCACATAAAGCATGTAAAATCAAATGTAGTTCTACGTTTGGAGAGCTACGCATGTCAACGTAGATCTACGTTTGGACAGTTTACCCCGTAAACAGTCCAAGCAGATCAATGTTCACATGTGTAGTGCTACAAAAGTAGATCTACCTTTTTTTAAGATATTTTCAAATATAACAAAAAAAAAAAAAGTAGATAAAAGTTTTTTTTACACATTTTCAAATGTAGAAAAAACAAAAAGAAGATCTACTTTTTTTACATACTTTTAAATGTTGAAAAAACGTATATATACGTTTGGAGCGTTTACGGGTTAAGGGCTGAGATGCTTCAAGCAGTATATTTTGAATCTATTCTCAAGAAACAAGAAAAAATTCAGATTTTACTCTTACGACTGACAGGTCAACACTGACACAGTGTAACTGACAGATCAACACTGACACAGTGTAACTGACAGATCAACACTGACACAGTGTAACTGACAGATCAACACTGACACAGTGTAACTGACAGATCAACACTGACACAGTGTAACTGACAGATCAACACTGACACAGTGTAACTGACAGATCAACACTGACACAGTGTAACTGACAGATCAACACTGACACAGTGTAACTGACAGATCAACGCTGACACAGTGTAACTGACAGATCAACGCTGACACAGTGTAACTGACAGATCAACGCTGACACAGTGTAACTGACAGATCAATGCTGACACAGTATAACTGACAGAGAACCCACAATAATGGATTTAAATTAGATAAGTTTAGATTTAGAAAGGATATAGAAAAGTATTGGTTTGGGAATAGGGAAGTTGATTGGAATAGTCTGCCTAGTAGAGTGGTTGAAGCTAAACCTTTGGGTAGTTTCATATTTAGGTTAAATAAATATCTGAGTTCTAGGTAGTAGGTTGGTAGACACCAACCACCCAGGGAGGTACTACCATCCTGTGGTAGTAGGTTGGTAGACAACAACCACCCAGGGAGGTACTACCATCCTGTGGTAGTAGGTTGGTAGACAACAACCACCCAGGGAGGTACTACCATCCTGTGGTAGTAGGTTGGTAGACAGCAACCACCCAGGGAGGTACTACCGTCCTGTGGTAGTAGGTTGGTAGACAACAACCACCCAGGGAGGTACTACCATCCTGTGGTAGTAGGTTGGTAGACAGCAACCACCCAGGGGGTACTACCATCCTGTGGTAGTAGGTTGGTAGACAACAACCACCCAGGGAGGTACTACCGTCCTGTGGTAGTAGGTTGGTAGACAACCACCACCCAGGGAGGTACTACCATCTTGTGGTAGTAGGTTGGTAGACAGCAACCACCCAGGGAGGTACTACCATCCTGTGGTAGTAGGTTGGTAGACAGCAACCTCCCAGGGAGGTACTACCATCCTGTGGTAGTAGGTTGGTAGACAACAACCACCCAGGGAGGTACTACCATCCTGTGGTAGTAGGTTGGTAGACAGCAACCTCCCAAGGAGGTACTACCATCCTGTGGTAGTAGGTTGGTAGACAACAACCACCCAGGGAGGTACTACCATCCTGCCAAGTGAGTGTACAATGAAAATCTGTAATTGTTTTACATGATGGTAGGATTGCTGGTGTCTTTTGTCTGTCTCATAAACATGCAAGATTTC